TCTAATAAGTCTTCTCTACACCCCCCCACTGCCTATCACCATTCATATCAATGGATCCCGGTCTGGGTGGTACCTGGAAGCTCCTCCCATGCTGCTGACAGGGCTGAAGTAATTTTTAAGGGCATTGTAGCTGTTCATGGCCACATTCAGATAGTACTCCGGCATGAAGGCGAAGAGAGATCCGGTGCGGTCAGCATGCTCTATACTGCGCAGGCACACTTGTAGGAGCCAATATATATCCTCCATCTTCTCCTGCAGGAGGAATATCAAATGACAACAAGGTGACCAAACACATAAAACAACCATGTGAACGTTATGCGCATACAGACAAACCATGTTTCTAATTTTTTTTTTAGAGTCGGTGTCATCCCTCTAATTGGAACACAGACCCCTGGAAACAACTAAAAGTATCTGCAGTCTTACAGTCTTTATCCACACTTCCCGACCGGCCGTTGTATATATAAACGGCCGGACGGTGGCACTGCAGGGTCGGGTGGCCGTCTATAAACGGCCTCCCCGCACCCTGCTTGTGCGCTCTCCCTTGGGAGCGCGCAGCACCGCGATCCGGTGCCCGCTGTGTCCTCCGGACACAGTGAAACACCGATCGTCGGACGGGACCTCTGTACGAGGTCCCGATCATGTGATCACTGATTGGCCAATCAGTGATCACATGCAAAGTAGTAAGCAAGATGTCACTTCTGACATCATTGCTTACTATGTGTGAAATCTGTGAATGATCACAGAGGTCACATGGTACAAGGCTATTCACAAAAGCCTTGTACCATGTGACAAGCTGTGACCAATCACAGCTCACTCAGTTCTTCTCAATGAGTGCAAGAATGCACACAGAGAGAAAGAGAAATGATTGCTTTTACATCCTATATGGGTGTAAAAGCAATCAGTGTAAAAAAAAAAATCTTCATCGCCCCTCACAAGTAGTACAGTGTCACCATGGTGACATTGTACTGCTAGGGTGACAGTATGTAAAAAAATAAAATAAAAATAAAAAATAATATAAAAAAAATAAATATAAAAATGTAAAAAAAAAATGTTTAAAAATTATAATTTTTGCTTATAAACTAATTTGGATTTTTTTTTTTTACTAAAAAGATAACGGAATAAATTTTGGCTAAGATTTATGATGAAATATTATTTATTTGCAAAATTTTATAAAAAAAAAACACTTTTTTTTCAAAATTTTTGGACATTTCATTTACATAGCAAAAAAAATACAAATCCCAGTGGTGAATAAATACCACCAAAATAAAGCTTTATCTATCTCAAAAAAATGGTAAAAAATTAATTTGGTACAGTGTTGCATGAACCGCGCGCAATTGTCATTCAAAGTGTGATAGCGCTAAAAGCTGAAAATTGCCCTGGTCAGGAAGGGGGTAAAAGTGTCCGGTCTGGAAGTGGTTATGCATGAATCGCTCCAACAGCCGTATTGCAAAAGGCAGCGATCATTGTCATGAAAAATCAGAATACATTACTTTCAAGGTTTTAATTGCTATCATGTGTCCACCATTTTTCCCCTCTTTCAGGGAGTGTTGTGAATTGAGGCTACTGTCCTTTTCATGGGGTGCCTCCAGAGAAGTTCATTCTTTTTTTCCCCCCTAAAACAGATGATGTTAATTCTACAATAGGATAGCAGAGGGTTACCTTGGAGTAAATCGTGACGTTTATCCATGCAAGCCGTCGACTCAAATGATTCAACTTTTCTGAGAAGACTTGCTGGCTTTTCAACAGTTCTTCCATGATGTCTGGCCTCTGGAACAGGAAGAAGGCAGAGAATGAGGTGAGGACTGTGTACTTCGAACAGGTAGACATGAAGGTGATCATATTCTTAATGTCCAAAATGTCACACTGTGGTCTCCATACATGATTCTAATCAGGTTGCCATAGGGCTAGCAGGGGGGGGGGGGGGGGGGGTTGGGGGCGGGGCTTGGCAGTACCATTGTCTTAGCACACCTCAATCTACAACAATGCTAGAGCCACAGCTGGCATGACATTGGCTCTACAGTGGCTAATAGCATATGCCTAGGGTGGAGGGATGTGGCTTTCCTCTCCTGTCCCCCAGCAGTCCTGTTGGAGGAGCTTTGAGGTAGGGGCTGTGACTCCTCACTAGGGATGAGCTCAAGCGGGTTCAGACACGAGTCCAGACCTGCTGAAGCCATCCCTCCAGGAAGCTGTCACTGCAGACAGCCAATATCGTTCCCGGCAGCCACACATACAATGGGCATGGCGGGGAATACCTCCACTGCTTATGACTGGCTGTCCACAATGACAGCTTTCCTGGTGGGATAGCTCAGGTGGGTTCAGACCTTTGTCCCAACACGTGTTAGCTCATCGTTCATCTGTAGATGGGAAATATGCAATACTCTATGCATGGGAGACATTATACAGCTTGAGAGAGAGACACATACATACTGTGTACAGAAAGGTAAGGGCCTGGAGTATGCAATATAATCAGGAGAATCAGGAGTATACATTGTAACAAGACTCAGGGGTATACATTGTAACAAGACTCAGGGTATACATACATACATAGTTAGTCTGGCTGACTCCTTGTATATACTCCTTGTACCCCCAAATTATCTATCTATATATACCCCCCCCCCTTATGTATTATACATGAAGACCATACCCCCCCACCTTATGTATTATACATGGAGACAATATCCCCCCTTATGTATTATACATGGAGATCATATCCCCCCTTATGTATTATACATGGAGATCATGTCCCCCTTATGTATTATACATGGAGATCATATCCCCCTTATGTATTATACATGGAGATCATATCCCCCCTTATGTATATATACATGGAGATCATATCCCCCCTTATGTATTATACACGGAGATCATATCCCCCCTTATGTATTATACACGGAGATCATATCCCCCCTTATGTATTATACACGGAGATCATATCCCCCCTTATGTATTATACACGGAGATCATATCCCCCCTTATGTATTATACATGGAGATCATATCCCCCTTATGTATTATACATGGTGATCATATCCCCCCTTATGTATTATACATGGTGATCATATCCCCCCTTATGTATTATACATGGAGATCATATCCCCCCTTATGTATTATACATGGAGATCATATCCCCCCCCCCCCTTATGTATTATACATGGTGATCATATCCCCCCTTATGTATTATACATGGTGATCATATCCCCCCTTATGTATTATACATGGTGATCATACCCCCCTTATGTTTATACATGGAGATCATATGCCCCCCCTTATGTATTACATGGAGATCATATGCCCCTTATGTATTATACATGGAGATCATATCCCCCCTTATGTATTATACATGGAGATCATATCCCCCCTTATGTATTATACATGGTGATCATACCCCCCTTATGTATTATACATGGAGATCATATCCCCCCTTATGTATTATACATGGAGATCATATATCCCCCCTTATGTATTATACATGGAGATCATATCCCCCCTTATGTATTATACATGGTGATCATATCCCCCCCCCCCCTTATGTATTATTATGTATTATACATGGTGATCATATCCCCCCCTTATGTATTATACATGGAGATCATATCCCCCTTATGTATTATACCCCCCTTATGTATTATACATGGAGATCATATACCCCCCCCCCCCTTATGTATTATACATGGTGATCATATCCCCCCTTATGTATTATACATGGTGATCATATCCCCCCTTATGTATTATACATGGTGATCATACCCCCCTTATGTATTATACATGGAGATCATATGCCCCCTTATGTATTATACATGGAGATCATATGATCATATCCCCCCTTATGTATTATACATGGAGATCATATCCCCCCTTATGTATTATACATGGTGATCATACCCCCCTTATGTATTATTATACATGGAGATCATATCCCCCCTTATGTATTATACATGGAGATCATATCCCCCCTTATGTATTATACATGGAGATCATATCCCCCCTTATGTATTATACATGGAGATCATATCCCCCCTTATGTATTATACATGGAGATCATATCCCCCCTTATGTATTATACACGGAGATCATATCCCCCCTTATGTATTATACATGGAGATCATATCCCCCTTATGTATTATACATGGTGATCATATCCCCCCTTATGTATTATACATGGTGATCATATCCCCCCTTATGTATTATACATGGTGATCATACCCCCCTTATGTATTATACATGGAGATCATATCCCCCCTTATGTATTATACATGGAGATCATATGCCCCCTTATGTATTATACATGGAGATCATATCCCCCCTTATGTATTATACATGGAGATCATATCCCCCCTTATGTATTATACATGGAGATCATATCCCCCTTAATCTCCTCTTCTCCAGAGAGAATAAATTCAGTTCCTCTAATCTTTCTTCATAGCTGATCTCCTCCATACAATATAATAAAATTCAGGAGTAAACATTGATTAAAAAAGTATCCAATATTAAAAGCTGGGAAGATGAGCAACAACCCAAGTTTAGGAAAGTTGAATGCAGTGAGTGAGAGGGCAGGCTGATCCCTGCAAGCCTTCCATTAGTACCGTTCCAACAGCTCACATTTCTAATCCTCATCCCTTCAATTATTACTGCTGGTCTGCAACTTGTGTCTGTGTATTGGAAGGTTGGATGTCTGTGGAAAGTTATGGGGGGATACTGGAGGAGGCGGCTGAAGCATATGGGGGGGGGACACATGTCTGGGCCCTCTCAGGTACTCTGTGCAGGGCTCCATGATTGCCAATGACAGCCCTGGGTCTCATGCTTACCCTCTTTGGACAGCGTTTAATTTTCTCCTCAGTGTCTTCAATGCCAGTGCATATTCATTCACATCATCTGAGACACCGACCATCTGCAGAGAAACAAAAACACACAACGTGGAGTCGGTTATCAATACTCAGGCATATCGCCTCCTTGATTTTTAATCGCCTCCCGCCGGCCATATATGGAAATGACGGACGCACGGCTGACAACTCGTGAGGAGAGGAGAGTCGGTAATCGGCATTCCTCAGAGGGGACATCTACACTGGTCATCAGTGCCCTGATGATCAGTGTAGCCCCATCAATGCCACATATCAGTGCCTACCAGTGCACATCAATGCCACATATCAGTGCCCATCTGAGCTGCCTTTCAGTGGCAACTATCAGTGCAGCCTATCAGTGCCATATATGAGTTCTGCCTTTCAGTGCCCATCAGTGCCACCTACCAGTGCCTCCTCATCAGTACCGCCTATCAGTGCCAGATATGAGCGCTGCCTTTCAGTGCCCATCAGTGATGCCTGTCAATGCCCATCAGTGCCACCTATCAGTGCAGCCTAACAGTGCCCATCGCTGCAGCCTCATTAGCGCACATCAGTGAAGGAGAAAATCACTTATTTACAACATTTTATAACAGAAACAAAGAAAAAAAACATTTTGTTCTTCAACATTTTCAGTTGTTTTTGGTTTGTTTAGCAAAAAATAAAAAACCCAGAGGTGATTAAATACCACCAAAAGAAAGCTCTACCTCAAAAAAATGATAAAAATTTCATATGAGTACAATGTTGCATGACTATCAGTTCCAGTCAGTGCCGCTTATCAGTGCCAGGTACAAGTACTGCCTTTCAGTGCCCACCAGTGATGTCTGTCAATGCCCACCAGTGATGCCTGTCAATGCCCATCAGTGCCACCTACCAGTGCCTCCTATCAGTGCCAGTCAGTGCCGCCTATCAGTGCCATATAGGAGTGCTGCCTTTCAGTGCCCATCAGTGATGCCTGTCAATGCCCATCAGTGCCACCTACCAGTGCCTCCTCATCAGTGCCCATCACTGCAGCCTCATTAGCACACATCAGTGAAGGAGAAAAATTACTCATTTACAAAATTTTATAACAGAAAAAACTTTTTTTTTTTAATTTGTTGTTTTTGGTTTGTTTAGCAAAAAAAAAAAAAAAAAAAAAAAAAAACCCAGGAGGTGAATAAATCCCACCAAAGGAAAGCTAAAAAAAAAATGGTAAAAATTTCAAAGGAGTACAATGTTGCATGACCGCGCAATTGTCAGTGAAAGTGCGACAGCACTGAAAGCTGAAAATTGGCCTGGGCAGGAAGGGGGTAAAAGTGCCCGTGAGGCGAGGGGTTAAGATGTGCCAAGTTAATATCTGGTCACAGAGGCTCATTAGACCTCCCAACTTAACGCTGACCAAACAGAATGGTCAGTGACCCCAGTAAAACATTGCATCTGCTCAGGGCCGGGAGTTTTCCTGCCACATCCTGGGGCTCCATTAGTGTAAATACTGAGAGCTAACAATGCAAAGTCCCGTTCATGGACAGATCGGTGCTCACCTTGCCGAGCTGTTGGTGTACGCTGAGGTTGTACATCATGACCACCCCGTCCAGCATCTCCAGGAGAGAGTTCTCTGTGCTGGGAATATCGGGCTCCTCCGGAGGTCTTCCCACCAGCAGACCCTCATTGCCGTGATGACCTTCAACTGTAACAAAACATAGTAAGTCTCTTATGCCAGAACGGTCAGTACTGCTTCAGAACAACCAATCGGATTCAAATCAGGACCAGGTGCAGAATGTAAAGAAAAATGTGAATGGGGACTGTGGTATTACAATTTTTATATCAGATGCCATGATAAATATGACCCAATGTGCCAAAGTCTTCAATAAACCTCAATTAAATTCTTCAAGGGTGTGTGGAGGACGACCGCCAGGCCAATGCCTGATCCGGAATAGGCCCAAAAAAGGGTGGAGCAACTGTCAGTGCCGTTACACTATTTCCAAGCCCCCAATTCACCAAGGTCTTGGCTCTGCAGGCCTGCACATATGCGCTCTCCATTTAGTCCTCCGAAGACTTGGTACTCAACCAGAGTATTGAGTTTGAACTCTCCATAGGTCTGAATGGAACCTCACACAAGTATCTTGGAGTAACACACCTCTTCCATAGAACTAAAACCAACTTAGTTTTTCCTGCACAATCTCAGACATTTCACCCAGATCCTCCAAATAAGGGGTGTGGGACATCCTGACACATGTGGGCTTGTTTGGGGGTAAAGTGTCTCGGAGATGTGAGCACTTATGACTGGATGGTGGAAGACTTGGGAGAGGTACTACAACAAATATGAGGGTGATCGAATGGAAACTGTGGTGCACAGTCACCATCAAAGCCTCCTTACATCAGAGCAACCCTCAGTAACCTGCAGTGGTCACTCCAGTGTTCCACAACTAGAAGAGGGTGCAGGCATGACGAAAGCTCAACCAGCTAGCATTTAGTCATATAGTTTGATGGACACCACGCACCACCAGCTCAGAGTGTCATATAATGTGAAAAAGGCCTCGGTTTCTCCTAGGCCACAGCCTCGGATGCGTTTTGCACCACCCCTAGGGCTTTATTGCAGTCAGAGGGCGTGACCAAGGAAGTGCTGAGGCCATTTTCACACCATATCACACCTACTGAGCTGGTGGTTTGCAGCATCACTCCTTACGTCAAAGTCACCCTTACATTAGAGTAGTCCCCCCTTACATCTCCATCAAAGTCCCTTCTTACATCAGACGGCAAGATAAAAAGGTCACAACGGACCAGATTTGGCCTGCGGGCCACAGTCTGGAGACCTCTGGTGTAACGGAACCGGACCCCGACTGCACTTGGGTATTTCCATTATAATACCGCTTCCCTGTTCGAACACCACCGCTGACCATACAAGATGACACCACCAGTCTTCAAGGAAACAAGGAAATAGACTCCTTTATTTTAAAATAGATTCAAGATATATACATTTAAGGGAACCATCCACCTTTCCTGCATAATGACACAGGGCGGGGCAAGCCACACCCAGTAACAAGAGACATCAGCAGACAGTCCCATCAGGGGGGGAGGGCTGCCAGAAACACCCCCCCACCAAGCCAATACACAAACATCCCATAATAGTTGGCTCCCAAGCAAGACACACAATAGAACAATGGGATGCAACCACATGGCATTAAACAATGAACAACCCCCCACCCCAATATTAGGACAGATCACCCTGCACCCCTAACAGGCACAGGGTGACTTACACATAATATGGATATGGGAAGCTGAGACAGGGGTCTCCCCACCTCTCCAAAGTGAGCTGTGTTCCATGGGCGCCCCACCCAAAGTCACTCCCGTCACATCTGGTCTATGTCAATATTGCAGCTTTCCTGTGTGCACCCAGACATAATGCAATCCTTCAACAGCTACATTTCATATTCTGGGTCTTTCCGAAAACCCAAACCCAGGGGTGTATTTACCACAAGGCAAACAAGGCATTTGCCTAGGGCATCATTTTTTTTGGGGGGGGGGGGGGGGGGGGTAGCACTGCCCCTCGGAAGAAGGGACACACGCAGCATGGGAACCTGGTGGCGGGTTTCATGACAGTGTATGCCCAGCCCAACTCTTGTTCCCGGGGATGTCCGGAGCTGTGAATGTGAGTGTCTCTCTCACCATGGGGGATGGTGGCTGGTGTATGGGGGGCAGTGATAGTGGAAGGCTCTCTTGGGTGGGAGTCAGGGGTGTTGGTCAATGTCAGCTCTCTCTTCAGGGGGGGGCCTGATTTCTGTGTTGCCTAGGGCAGCACAAAACCTAAATACACCACTGCCCTCCCCCCCAGACACTCACTGTCATCTTCCGTACGCTGCTCCAGACTCAGACTCCGCACTTTCACCTTCTCCAGAACGCCAAGAGGTCGCCGTGGGTTCATGAGGCTGACCGCTGCAGTGCTCAGGAACCGGTTTGCCCTCCCAAGAGTTGGGGAACTCAGCCAACTGGGCCGGGCAAGGGCACCCCCAATGGCCTGGGCAGCAGAAGGCCTCTAAAGAGAAGGAAATTCACTTTGCATTAATATTTAAAAGACATGCTGTCAGCTTCAATGCCTCATTTACATGGATCTCCTCGCCCTGTACCTGTCCCGTCATACTGGCCGATTCGTCTTCCTCCTCCAGGTCGTCCATGGTGACTGCCTGCAGTTCTGATGGATCTATCACTATGTTGGCTTTGGAAGACAAGTCATCTGAGGACAGAGCATAGGAGATGAGGTTCAAATCTTCAACACCAATGATTACAATTCACCATCCTCACTTACACCGAAAGCCCCCCTTACCTTTCAGCGTCTTCCTCAGGTGGGATAGAAGACCCCCGAGCCTTTGCAGGTCAAAATAATCCACCTTTCCATTGTAGAAGAGCTGCGGGGGCACATAGGCATCTGAGGGCCAAATAACGAGAAGGACGAGCGTTAGACGAACCCTACAGTGTTTGTAACGGCATTATGCAATCTAGGCTAGAGCTCTATTTTACCTTCACTGCTGCGGGCTGAGGGGTTCCGGACATGGAATTCGTCCCAACAGGCTCGTAGGGCAGTAATTAGACGGTGGAGGAAGCACACCATGTATTCGGGGGGACAGAGAACTGTGGGATTCTGGAAAATAAATTAAACCATTTTATGGGACAGCACTTCTGCCTTACAGCACTGGGGTCCTCAGTTCGAGTCCTAGGGTTAGGACACCATCTGCATGGAGTTTGTTTTTCCTCCCTGTGCTTGTGTAGGTTTCCTCCAGGTACTCAGGTTTGCTCCCACATTCCAAAGTCATGGTGATAAGTTAATTAGTTCTTGTCTACAAAATTGACCCCAGTATGATATTCCACCAAGCACAGAGAAACTGATAAGGGGACAACACCTGCCCTCCTGTACAGGGTCCAGGCCCCATAAGTTCAACAGTGGGGCCCAGAGTCCAGGAGTGGGTGCAGTTACTGGAACCAGTCCCTCTGTGGCACTCCCTGTGTTTATAATGCTTTAGTTTGCTTTAGTTTGTACGGAGGCTCCCCATTCATTCACAGAGAGCTTTCATTCACTCTGCAGCTGAGGCTGCAGAGAAAGGATTGAGGAATCTGTGTCCTCAATCGCTTTTTCGGTCTCAAAAGTGAGATGTTGGGTGTCTGTTTAGACCCCTGATATTTCACCAACCCCCACAGGGCTGTAAAAAAAAAAAAAAAAAATATCATCATCATCATGAGTATGTCAGTATTTCTGTGCTCAAAGTGGTACATTGTTTTCAATGGAAATATGTTGTTTTTTTATTGTAGGCCTGTAATTTTTAGGAATAACTCACTGAAATCTGTCCGAACAAGAGTCTAGTAAACATCCCGGGGATGATAAAATTTGAAACACGAAATCATAAATTATAATATATTAAATAATCATAAAAAATAATATAACAATAAATATAATTCAATAATATAATCAAACCAAAAAACACTGAAATGTGAAATAGAGCGCCAAGTT